GCGGCCGACATCACCGTAGCCGTCAGCTCGGCGGCGGTCTCTCCCGTCGGCGGCTTGAGCGCCGTGGGCGGAGGGCGGTTGGAGGCCCTGTTTTCGAAGGCGATCCGTAGGTGTTTGTCCTTCCTCAACCGCTCGAGGTCGATACGGATCCGGCTGCTTCCGCTGTTCCCCCGCACTCGTCGGTTGGGTGCGACACGGGGGGGGAGGCGGACAGCCGCAAGCACGAGTTTGTGGTCAGAGTCTTTGAAGTCGACACGTTTGACGGAGACATTANGTCCTTAGACGCTTCGGAGATCTCGTGCTGCGCTTCGCTCGTGCACTAGCCTCGCGGTCTCAGCAGCGGCCGACATCACCGTAGCCGTCAGCTCGGCGGCGGTCTCTCCCGTCGGCGGCTTGAGCGCCGTGGGCGGAGGGCGGTTGGAGGCCCTGTTTTCGAAGGCGATCCGTAGGTGTTTGTCCTTCCTCAACCGCTCGAGGTCGATACGGATCCGGCTGCTTCCGCTGTTCCCCCGCACTCGTCGGTTGGGTGCGACACGGGGGCGCGGGCGAACAGTCGTAAGCACGTGGTTGTGGTCAGAGTCTTTGAAGTCGACACGTTTGACGGAGACATTACGCACGACACGCCGGGCCGTCTGACGCATGAGGATGACGTCGGGGCGATACTTCTCCTTCCCCTTATTGGAGCTCTGAAATGTGTGCTGCACTTCACCTTTCGGTGTCCGGAAGTAGGTTTTGGTCAGGGAAAGTTGGTTGTCTGTTGCCAGTCCAAGGAGTCGTTCCCCGTTGTTCTTCACAATATCGCGTCCGTACGCGCCCATAATCTTGGCATCGCAGCACCCGTCTCGCCTCCTACCAGTGCGTGCGTTGGCGTCCATTACCACCACGAGATGGTCACGGCTGTGAACTTCCCGGATGGCTGCGCCGAGAGCAATCCAGAAGGATTCCTTGGCGTTAATATCACCGCCCGCGGTGGTGCGGATAGTTTCCGTGGCGGCGTACCCCACCATGAAAGCTACTCCGCAGGTGCGGCCAATTGGTCGACGCACCTTCGTCAGCCTCGGGCTAATGCACTCCACCGTCCTACCTTCCTCGCCCACACTCTCCCACATGGCCTCCTTGATCGCTATGCCCACACCGTGTACGCCCCTCTTGTCCTTGGTGCCAGCACGGGCGCCACTCCAAATGATCACGTACCCGTCGTGTGCAATTGAACCTTGCCCCNCCTCGCCCACACTTTCCCACATGGCCTCCTTGATCGCTATGCCCACACCGTGTACACCCATCTTGTCCTTGGTGCTAGCACGGGCGCCACTCCAAATGATCGCGTACCCGTCGTGTGCAATTGAACCTTGCCCCTGTCGTCGAATTTCCTGAAGTCCTACCACATCACAGCCGGTCGTGGAACAAATCTGCATGACCGTCATCACGTTGTGATCGTTGGGTTCCTACCGCTGTAGGCGAGGGTGCGTACGTTGGACGTGCCGAACGATAGATCGCCCTCTCGTGCCTTTTTCTTCGCAGCCGCCTTGACGGCCGCTGCGGTCTTGTGTCTCTCTCGGTCTACCTCGCGTTGCGGGTGTGCTTTCTTCCGTACTTTCCGAGCGGCGAATTTCCTCGCATCGATCCACCTCTGCAGAGCGCGGTTCTTGCCTGTGGTGTTTTGACGAGGAGGGTGCAGCACTCCCTCCCCGCGGTGCCCGCGGTCGTCTCCCTTCTCCCGCGAGCGGTGCTTACTGACGTGGTGTTTACGAATCTCTCTACTCCTCCAGCTTCGTGGGCCACGGTTTCCGCGACGGTGGTTGCCAGATGCAGTTCGCCGCTCTGCATTAGTGCCGCGGCAACAGTGCGCATACACACCTCTCGCCACCACCAGCGTCTGTGCATCCTCACCGCCACGCTGAGCCAGCGCGGCGGTGAGTTGCACCTTGGGACACCACACGCCTACTATCTGTTGTGTCCTGGTTCGCCCTCGAGGGACTCACAAAGTCGATTTCGGCCCCGGCCGGGGAGCAGGCCGAGGGGGGAAGGAAGGGCGTGTGAGTGCATCGCTTGATAAGGGTGCTACAATATCTCTCAGGAGAAGCAACTCCCTTCCTCGCCCCAGAAACAGTACCATGACCTGACGAAGGCGCTAGTTTTTTCAACCATAGTAAGGAGATGTAGGTGTGGTGATCTTTCTTTGTGTTCAGAGGCACAAGGTGCAAAAGATCAACGCTCAAGCACCAACAAAAGGTCAACCCGTTGAGATGTCGGGTCGTTGCACAACTCCTCGACGCGAGGATGAGACAGCACGTGATGGGTCCCAGACTAACGTGGGGAGAGGGCAACACAGATCGATGCCCTCGCGCGTAAGTGTAGAGAGGCGTATAGCAGTAGCAGCGTCTGTCTGTCTGTATGTTGTTATTGTGTTATGCCATGTGCCTCTCTCCAAGAATAAGGCCTCTGCGGTCCTACTGCTGCTGCTGTTGTTGTTGTTGCTAAAACAACAACACAGGTGACCCACCCAAACGCTCTTCCTTCTCTCCCCTCGCTTCCTCAGCCGATAGCTTACAGCAGTAGTAGCAAAGGACACATCCTGCTTCCGTCTCGCTCTTACAGGTGCGTTTATCCCTACCCCCTTGTCTGGCTCCGGGTGATGTCTTACTTCTCTCTTACGTGAGCCCAAGTTGGTCTGGTCCTAACAAGCCTCCTCCATACTCGTGGACGCGTGACTTCGATATTTGCGTCGGCGCGAATGCCATCGTAACTCCACGCACCGAGCACGGATTGAAATGGTAGCAGTTGGGACAGCTCAGGGAAGATGTTACCTCTTCTGAACACGTCTCAGCTTGCAATTTGGTGCCTATAGATGGTGAAATGGGCTCGAGTCTGCCTGCGCATTAGAGATAGGTGTATACACAACCCTCGGCGAGTGCAGTTGCTACACGTACGTCTCGCTGTGTGTGTGTGTGTTGCCTTCTCTTTCGCTGTCTTTCGCTCTCTTGTCTCTCCTTCTTCTCGATTTCGTGTCATAATGCTTTTTTACTAGAGATGGAAGAGTCAAACTGCTGCGGGGGCGCGGAAACTAGGCATACCCGCTATAAACATATCCTTCATGCGTAGGGGGGGGG